ACCCACACTCAAACCACACCCAAAAAAGCCTATGAAAGGTACCAGGGGCACCTCATGGGGCCCCCAGGCAATAGAGGGTCATGGGGCCCCTGTGTCCTCACCCACACTCAAACCACACCCAAAAAAGCCTATGAAAGGTACCAGGGGCATCTCATGGTGCCCCCAGGCAATAGGAGGTCATGTGGGCCCCTGTGTCCTCACCCACACTCAAACCACACCCAGAAAAGCCTAGAAAAGGTACCAAGGGCATCTCATGGAGCCCCCAGGCAATAGGGGGTCATGGTTCCCCTGTGTCCTCACCCACACTCAAAGCACACCCAAAAAAGCCTATGAAAGGTACCAGGGGCATCTCATGGGGCCCCCAGGCAATAGGGGGTCATGGTTCCCCTGTGCCCTCACCCACACTCAAACCACACCCAAAAAAGGCTATGAAAGGTACCAGGGGCATCTCATGGGGCCCCCAGGCAATAGGGGGTCATGGAGGCCCCTGTGCCCTCACCCACACTCAAACCACACCCAAAAAAGCCTATGAAACTTACCAGGGGCATCTCATGGGGCCCCCTACTGACCCTGGACCCTCGGGCAGTGCCCTGGTTTCCGAATGGTCAGTCCGCCCCTGGAACAGCTTCATCTGGAGCCTCACTGAAGGTTCCCAGATCAACGTGATGAACCGTAATCACATTTAAGAATTTATTTATTATCTTCTTCTCAAAAGAAAGGAAAAGAAGTTTGAAGCAACGTCAGTCCATGTCCCATCGTGCAAGGAGCTGATTCATACAATACAAGGAATGTCCACATGCTATGGAAAGAGAACTGATGTATTCCTCTGTTCCTGTGGGGCCCTAAAATCGCACCACCTCCGCATTATGACATGAAAGGAACGCTGCTAAAAATTAATAAGCTTTTTATTGCACAAAGAACCATTTTCCAGCTGTTTGGAACTTTGTCTGGGGAAAAGAAAAGAAAAGACTCCCATGTGGGGCGTTTTATTGGTAAATTACATGAAAAGGGATAACCCTGATGAGAAAGCGAGCGTCACCAGAGACGAGGAAGTCGATGAAAAATAACTTTTATGAACTGAACATCTGAGTAAAGGAACAATCTCACTTCTGACACAAACTGGACCCAAAACAGACAAAAATATCCCCATAGAACCTCCCAAACGCCCCATGTGCACCAGTCACACGGATCTCTCATGAACCCTGACTACAAATTATTATTGTATACTTTATAATGTATTGTTAGGATATAACGCGACCCTCTGCAGTCACTACAAATTGTACTGAACTCATTATTATTATACAGGATTTATATTATTATTATACAGGATTTATATTATTATTATTATTATTATACAGGATTTATATTATTATTATTATTATACAGAATTTATATTATTATTATACAGGATTTATATTATTATTATTATTATACAGAATTTATATTATTATTATTATTATACAGGATTTATATTATTATTATTATTATTATACAGGATTATTATTATTATTATTATTATAAAGGATTTATATTATTATTATTATACAGGATTTATATTATTATTATTATACAGGATTATTATTATTATTATAAAGGATTTATATTATTATTATTATACAGGATTTATATTATTGTTATTATTATTCATGATTTATATTATTATTATTATTATTATACAGGATTTATATTATTATTATTATACAGGATTATTATTATTATTATTATTAAAAAAGGATTTATATTATTATTATTATACAGGATTTATATTATTATTATTATTATTATTATTCATGATTTATATTATTATTATTATTATACAGGATTTATATTATTATTATTATTAAAAAATTATTATTATTATACAGGATTTATATACAAATATTATTAAAAAATTATTATTATACAGGATGATTATTATTATTATTATTATACAGGATTATTATTATTATTATTATACAGGATTTATATTATTATTATTATTATACAGGATTATTATTATTATTATTTACAGGATTTATATTATTATCCTGGGAGCTTACAATCTAGGAGGGAGGGCCTGATCCTGGGAGCTTACAATCTAGGAGGGAGGGCTCTGATCCTGGGAGTTTACAATCTAGGAGGGAGGGGCTGATCCTGGGAGTTTACAATCTAGGAGGGAGGGGCTGATCCTGGGAGTTTACAATCTAGGAGGGAGGGACTGATCCTGGGAGTTTACAATCTAGGAGGGAGGGGCTGATCCTGGGAGTTTACAATCTAGGAGGGAGGGCCTGATCCTGGGAGCTTACAATCTAGGAGGGAGGGCCTGATCCTGGGAGCTTACAATCTAGGAGGGAGGGCTCTGATCCTGGGAGTTTACAATCTAGGAGGGAGGGGCTGATCCTGGGAGTTTACAATCTAGGAGGGAGGGGCTGATCCTGGGAGTTTACAATCTAGGAGGGAGGGGCTGATCCTGGGAGCTTACAATCTAGGAGGGAGGGGCTGATCCTGGGAGCTTACAATCTAGGAGGGAGGGGCCTGGGAGCTTACCTGGGAGCTGATTGGAGCTTACAATCTAGGAGGGAGGGGCTGATCCTGGGAGCTTACAATCTAGGAGGGAGGGGCTGATCCTGGGAGTTTACAATCTAGGAGGGAGGGGCTGATCCTGGGAGTTTACAATCTAGGAGGGAGGGGCTGATCCTGGGAGCTTACAATCTAGGAGGGAGGGGTCTGATCCTGTGAGCTTACAATCTAGGAGGGAGGGCCCTGATCCTGGGAGCTTACAATCTAGGAGGGAGGGCCCTGATCCTGGGAGCTTACAATCTAGGAGGGAGGGCTCTGATCCTGGGAGTTTACAATCTAGGAGGGAGGGGCTGATCCTGGGAGTTTACAATCTAGGAGGGAGGGGCTGATCCTGGGAGTTTACAATCTAGGAGGGAGGGGCTGATCCTGGGAGTTTACAATCTAGGAGGGAGGGGCTGATCCTGGGAGTTTACAATCTAGGAGGGAGGGGCTGATCCTGGGAGCTTACAATCTAGGAGGGAGGGGCTGATCCTGGGAGCTTACAATCTAGGAGGGAGGCTGATCCCGGGAGCTTACAATCTAGGAGGGAGGGGCTGATCCCGGGAGTTTACAATCTAGGAGGGAGGGGCTGATCCCGGGAGTTTACAATCTAGGAGGGAGGGGCTGATCCCGGGAGTTTACAATCTAGGAGGGAGGGGCTGATCCCGGGAGTTTACAATCTAGGAGGGAGGGGCTGATCCCGGGAGTTTACAATCTAGGAGGGAGGGGCTGATCCCGGGAGTTTACAATCTAGGAGGGAGGGGCTGATCCCGGGAGTTTACAATCTAGGAGGGAGGGGCTGATCCCGGGAGTTTACAATCTAGGAGGGAGGGGTTGATCCCGGGAGTTTACAATCTAGGAGGGAGGGGCTGATCCCGGGAGTTTTACAATCTAGGAGGGAGGGGCTGATCCCGGGAGCTTACAATCTAGGAGGGAGGGGCTGATCCGGGAGCTTACAATCTAGGAGGGAGGGGCTGATCCTGGGAGTTTACAATCTAGGAGGGAGGGGCTGATCCTGGGAGCTTACAATCTAGGAGGGAGGGGCTGATCCTGGGAGTTTACAATCTAGGAGGGAGGGGTCTGATCCTGTGAGCTTACAATCTAGGAGGGAGGGCCCTGATCCTGGGAGCTTACAATCTAGGAGGGAGGGCCCTGATCCTGGGAGCTTACAATCTAGGAGGGAGGGCTCTGATCTTGGGGAGTTTACAATCTAGGAGGGAGGGGCTGATCCTGGGAGTTTACAATCTAGGAGGGAGGGGCTGATCCTGGGAGTTTACAATCTAGGAGGGAGGGGCTGATCCTGGGAGTTTACAATCTAGGAGGGAGGGGCTGATCCTGGGAGTTTACAATCTAGGAGGGAGAGGGCTGATCCTGGGAGCTTACAATCTAGGAGGGAGGGGCTGATCCTGGGAGCTTACAATCTAGGAGGGAGGGGCTGATCCCGGGAGCTTACAATCTAGGAGGGAGGGGCTGATCCCGGGAGTTTACAATCTAGGAGGGAGGGGCTGATCCTGGGAGTTTACAATCTAGGAGGGAGGGGCTGATCCTGGGAGTTTACAATCTAGGAGGGAGGGGCTGATCCTGGGAGCTTACAATCTAGGAGGGAGGGGTCTGATCCTGTGAGCTTACAATCTAGGAGGGAGGGCCCTGATCCTGGGAGCTTACAATCTAGGAGGGAGGGCCCTGATCCTGGGAGCTTACAATCTAGGAGGGAGGGCCCTGATCCTGGGAGCTTACAATCTAGGAGGGAGGGCCTGATCCTGGGAGTTTACAATCTAGGAGGGAGGGCCTGATCCTGGGAGCTTACAATCTAGGAGGGAGGGCCCTGATCCTGGGAGCTTACAATCTAGGAGGGAGGGGCTGATCCTGGGAGTTTACAATCTAGGAGGGAGGGGCTGATCCTGGGAGTTTACAATCTAGGAGGGAGGAGCTAGTGGTACAAAAAGGTAGTAACTGTGGGGGATGGACTGGTGGAGGAGTAGAAGATTCCATTATTAGCTGAGGGCAGGATAGGCTTCCCTGAAGAGATCGGTTTTCAGAGATCACCTAAAAGTGAGCAGAGTAGGTGATAGTCTGATAGATTGGGGTAGAGAGTTCCAGAGGATGGCGGAAGCTCTGGAGAAGTCCTGGAGATGAGCATAGGAGGAGGAGACAAGGGAGCTAGAGAGCAGGAGGTCTTGCGAGGAGCTGAGAGGACAGTTTGGGTGATATTTGGAGACAAGATCGGTGATGTAATTTGGGGCGGAGTTATAAATGGCTTTATATGTTATTATTAATGGTTTGAATTTTATCCGTTTGCCAATCCCTCCACTGGCTTCCCATTGAGGAGTGGAGGACACTGAGTGGAGGCCAGTGAAGGGATTGGCAGAGAGGGGTGGAGGACACTGAGTGGAGGCCAGTGGAGGGATTGGCAGAGGGGGGTGGAGGACACTGAATGGACGCCAGTGGAGGGATTGGCAGAGAGGGGTGGAGAACACTGAGTGGAGGCCAGTGGAGGGATTGGCAGAGAGGGGTGGAGGACACTGAGTGGAGGCCAGTGGAGGGATTGGCAGAGAGGGGTGGAGAACACTGAGTGGAAGCCAGTGGAGGGATTGGCAGAGAGGGGTGGAGAACACTGAGTGGAGGCCAGTAGAGGGATTGGCAGAGAGGGGTGGAGGACACTGAGTGGAGGCTAGTGGAGGGATTGGCAGAGAGGGGTGGAGAACACTGAGTGGAGGCCAGTGGAGGGATTGGCAGAGAGGGGGGTGGAGGACACTGAGAGGAGGCCAGTGGGAGGGATTGGCAGAGAGGGGGGGATGACACTGAGTGGAGGCCAGTGGAGGGATTGGCAGAGAGGGGTGGAGGACACTGAGTGGAGGCCAGTGGAGGGATTTGCAGAGAGGGGTGGTGGGACACTGAGTGGAGTCCAGTGGAGGGATTGGCAGAGAGGGGTGGAGGCACTGAGTGGAGGTCAGTGGAGGGATTGGCAGAGAGGGGTGGAGGACACTGAGTGGAGGCCAGTGGAGGGATTGGCAGAGATGGGTGGAGGACACTGAGTGGAGGTCAGTGGAGGGATTGGCAGAGAGGGGTGGAGGACGCTGAGTGGAGGTCAGTGGAGGGATTGGTAGAGAGGGATGGAGGACGCTGAGTGGAGGTCAGTGGAGGGATTGGCAGAGATGGGTGGAGGACACTGAGTTGAGGTCAGTGGAGGGATTGGCAGAGAGGGGTGGCAGATATAGAACAGTTAGTAAGGTGGATGAGTCTGGCAGCAGCATTCATGATAGACTGAAGAGGGGATAGCCTGCAATGAGGTCGGCCAATGAGGAGGGAGTTACAGTAGTCGAGGCGAGAGATAACAAGGGAGGGAATAAGTTGCTTAGTGGTTTCCGGGGTTAGGAACGGCCGTATCTTGGAGATGTTGCGGAGGTTGGAGAGTTGCGGAGGTTAGAGATGTTGCGGAGGTTGGAGGTGTTGCAGAGGTTGGAGATGTTGCGGAGGTTGGAGGTGTTGCAGTGGTTGGAGATGTTGCGGAGGTTGGAGATGTTGCGGAGGTTGGGGGTGTTGCAGTGGTTGGAGATGTTGCGGAGGTTGGAGGTGTTGCAGTGGGGGTGATGTTGCGGAGGTTGGAGGTGTTGCAGAGGTTGGAGATGTTGGAGGTTGGAGATGTTGCGGAGGTTGGAGATATTGCGGAGGTTGGAGATGTTGCAGAGGTTGGAGATGTTGCGGAGGTTGGAGATGTTGCGGAGGTTGGTGATGTTGGGGAGGTTGGGGTGTTGCAGTGGTTGGGATGTTGCGGAGGTTGGAGGTGTTGCAGAGGTTGGAGATGTTGCGGAGGTTGGGGTGTTGCGGAGGTTGGAGGTGTTGCGGAGGTTGGAGATGTTGCGGAGGTTTAAGGTGTGGAGGTTGGAGATGTTGGGGGGGGGTTGGGGGGGGGGGGGGGGGGGGGGGGGGGGGGGGGGGGGGGTGGGTGGGGGGGGGGGGGGGTCGGGGTTGGAGATGTTGGAGGTTGGGAGATGGGGGCGGAGGTTGGGGTTGGGGAGGGGAGGGGGGGGGGGGGGGATGGAGGGGGGGGCGGTGGGGGAGACGTTGGGGGGGAGTGGGGGGTTGGGGGGGTTGCAGGGGGGGGGGGAGGGGTTGGGTGGTTGGTGATGTTGCGGAGGTTGGGGGGGGGGTTGCGGGGGTTGGAGGTGTTGCGGGGGGGGGATGTTGCAGTGGTTGGTGATGTTGCGGAGGAGGGTTGGGGGGGGGGGGGTTGGAGGGGTTGCGGAGGTTGGAGATGTTGCAGTGGGGGGGGGGGATGTTGGGAGGTTGGAGATGTTGCAGGGGGGGGGTGGGTTGGGGGGGGGGGGGGGGGGGACATGTTGGGAGGTTGGAGGGGGGGGAGGTTGGGGATGTTGGGAGGTTGGGGTGTTGCGGGGGGGGGATGTTGCAGAGGGGGGAGATGTTGCAGTGGTTGGTGATGTTTGGGGTGGGGGGTTGGGGGGGTTGGGGGGGAGGTTGGAGATGGGGAGGTTGGAGATGTTGCGAAGGTTGGAGATGGTGCGGGGCTAGAGGGGGGTTGCGGGGGGGGGGAGGGGTTGCGGGGTTGGGGGGTGTTGGGGGGAGGTTGGAGGGTTGCGGGGGTTGGGGGTGGGGGGGGAGGTTAGAGGTGAGGGTTGGGGGGTTGGGGTGTTGGGGGAGGTTGGAGATGTTGCGGAGGTTGGAGGTGTTGCGGAGGTTGGGGGTGTTGGAGGTTGGGAGATTGGGGCGGAGGTTGGGGATGTTGCGAGGTTGAAGTCTACAGGATTTGGACAGTGATTGGATTTGGGGGTGAAGGACAGATGGGAGTCCAGGATGACACCTCGTACCCTGCCATGAGGGGAGGGACTGATGGCTGTATTATTGATCTTGATGGAGAAGTCGGGGGGAGGGATAAATGGGGCTTTGGAGAGGCTGAAAAATAAGGATGAAGTTTTAGCTATATCGGGATCCATACTTTATAATTAGAGAGATGAGCGAATCGAACTTGGAGAAGTGGAATTCGTTTCGAAGATTAGGAAAAATTCGATTCGCGCCGAATCCGAAAATTAGCCAACTTCGGATGCACGAATCAAATTTTCCAAAAATGGCGGCGACATGTGTGGCGACGGAGCGGGGATCTCTGGGAAGGCGCGCAGACAAGGCGCGCTGACCCATAATGCATTCATTCATGACATGTGATCGCATTAGCCAATCAGCAGCCAGCCAGCCAGCACTGTGTAATGGTGGAGCTATAAATCGCGGCCATCTTAGAATTCTCCATTAGCCTCCGGTCATTCAAGAGAGACAGACCTCTCTGTATTAGGGACAGAGTTAGGGCCACAGAGACTTTAGGGCCACAGAATCGTTTACTCAGGGACACAGAATCGTTACTCAGGGACACAGAATCGTTACTCAGGGACACAGAATTGTTACTCAGGGACACAGAATCGTTACTCAGGGACACAGAATCGTTACTCAGGGACACAGAATTGTTACTCAGGGACACAGAATTGTTACTCAGGGACACAGAATCGTTACTCAGGGGACACAGAATTGTTACTGAGGGACACAGAATCGTTACTGAGGGACACAGAATTGTTACTCAGGGACACAGAATTGTTACTCAGGGACACAGAATTGTTACTCAGGGACACAGAATCGTTACTGGGACACAGAATTGCTACTGAGGGACACAGAATCGTTACTGAGGGACACAGAATTGTTACTCAGGGACACAGAATTGTTACTCAGGGACACAGAATCGTTACTGAGGGACACAGAATCGTTACTGAGGGACACAGAATTGTTACTCAGGGACACAGAATTGTTACTCAGGGACACAGAATTGTTACTCAGGGACACAGAATTGTTACTCAGGGACACAGAATCGTTACTCAGGGACACAGAATTGTTACTGAGGGACACAGAATCGTTACTGAGGGACACAGAATTGTTACTCAGGGACACAGAATCGTTACTTTCTGCTTCACAACCACTATTGTACGTTCAAAGAGTTAAATCCGGTTTTATTTTTGGGGTGCTTATTGAATTAAAGAGTATGTCAGACAACATGCAGAGGAGTGGCAGAGGAGGCAATGTTTTAGGAGCGAGCAGACGTGGCAGCAGAGGAAGGGGTCGAGGCAGCACTATTCGCAGCCAGAGGCCAGTGCTCCCGGTGTCATCCAGCGGTCGTTCTCCACCGACAACCCTGCCGTCATCGATTGGTTGGCTCGGTCGTCTTCCTCTTCCCAGGTCACCTCTGACACCTACAGCCAACGGTCGGTGGGTACGTCAGACACAACCGTTAGTTGGCATGGCCCGGGAGCAAGCCCACTGAAATCACGTGTCCTCTACCTGCCCCTGTCCTTTGGTGTTCCCTCACCAAGCGAAGTATCGCATGCTGTGGGCTCAGCCCCACTGTACAGTGAGGAAGAGCTAACAGAGGGCGGTCAGGAACGGGGGGAGACATCCGCCTTTTCAGCAGCCAGGTGAAGAAGTACTGGCGAGGAGAGTGGCTCGGTAGCCGGTCTAGAGACAGGTCTGTCTCCTGACCCACACGCAGCTGAGGGGGCTAGTAGTGAGGCGGAGACCCTAATTGATGATGATGAGGCTGATCGCACTTGGCAGCCTCGTCGTCATCAGGCTATTGCTTCCGCATCATCAGGGGAAGAGGGGTGGCAGCTTGGCAGCGAGCAAAACAGTCGGTGGGTTTGCCCAGGAGGGCAGCAGGGTCGCAGCAGTGTCAGTGGAGGCAAACGGCCACGGAGTAGAGCACCAGCTCCACTGCAGCCTACCACCCACGGCCAGTAGTGGTGCCGGTGTGCACGGAGGAAGTAGCAGTCAGCCAGTGAGGAGTAGCGGGGGCAAAGTTTCCTACTCGGCGGTGTGGCAATTTTTCGTCAAGCCGCCCGAGGAAGTAAACGTAGCCGTATGTCGACTATGTGGCCAGAAAGTCAAGCGTGGCCAGGGGGGCCCATGTTGGGACTACAGCGTTGCGTCAGCATATGCAGCGTCGCCATTCGGTGGCCTGGGGAAAACCGTGATAAAGATTACGGCGGTTCTGCCTGACCCAGCCCCCGCTCCATCACCCGCTCCGTTACTTGCTCCGTCACCCGACGTCAATCGCCCTCCATCAGCCAGTCAAGGCTCCAACACCTCTGCTGAGGGGGAGTTGTCGCTCGTTGGCATCTTCCGCTCGTTCAGATGCTCCTTCTCCTGCTACTCTCCTCTTCACGGATTCCGTCAGCAGTCTTTCTTGGAATCCGTTTCCAAGAGACAAACAGTTTGCGAGCACGCACCCGACGGTGCAAAAGCTGAACGTCCTCCTGTCCAAGTTGCTGGTGCTGCAGTCCCTCCCTTTCCAAGTGGTGGACTCAGCACCTTTCCGAGAAATGATGGCTTGTGCCGCGCCACGGTGGAGAGTGCCAAGCCGTCATTTCTTCGCCAAAAAGGCAGTGCCAGCCCTGCATTCACATGTAGAAGAGATGGTGGGCCAGTTCTTTGAGCATGTGCGATCGGTCTCTGCCAAAGTGCACGGCAGCGCCGACGTGTGGAGCTGTAACTACGGTCAGGGACAGTACATGTCATTTACGGCCCACTGGGTGAACGTGGTGCCGGCACAGCCGCACCAGCAAACTTGGACAGGTCACGCCGCTTTTGCCTCCACGTTTGCACGTCCTTGGTCCGGCAAAGATGTCCG